ATGGTATTTATCGCCAAAGCGCATTGAACCAAACACAAATTTGTTGAAGTGGCTAAGGTCAGTTTCTGCTATGTCTCCTGGTTAATCGAAAACGTTCCTGCCAAGATGTTTCAACAGGGTTTAACAAGGTTTTTTAGTGTAACAGGAGATGAATGYCTATTAGACAATGTTCATTAAGCAAAATTAACTTGKATGGCGGTAAGATGAACTTTGCTTAGGGCAAACAGTTCRGTAGATCACCTAAGCTCTACTCTAGGCCAGAAGAATTTCGCTGGCTCCATCGGTCCAGTACTAKAGCGCTAGATGGCAACGGCGATCCGACTCGCTCACACTCCGATGTAAGTRATGTACAGGTGCGCGTCTTGCTAGTTYATCRGCTTTGCAGTTTGCAAGATTTCCGCTAAGAGATMAGGCTTCCAAACGAGACTGKTGATGAAGTAGMTTGATGCTATTTGTAATGAGGATAGGCTRTCCTCGACTACCTTTGAGTGCACAGTTTGCTACCTACACTACAGAAGTCCGGTAGCCTACATCTAATATCCTTACAGAAAGATATCCCCTCCAAGCTTCCTTCGTGGGTATGCAAGCGGAGACATAGACTTCAAAAATAGCCTCTGTAGCACAGTGGTCCAAGTTTTCCGGGATGCATTTAAAGGAGGAGAGAATTTCAGCGTGACTCTGATTGGTTTCCTTCAAAATAGGCTCCATATCCGCGGATACTACAAGTGTATGTAGAATGACGTTATCAGCCATTGTTGGTGTGGTCCGCAGTGTRCCGRAGATGYYGATGCGAGCCACACCGTAGAACATTATTGGCTGAACTATGGTTTATATCCAGGATAAGCGCTTTTCTAAAGGTTAAAGKCGCGACCCACCGWATAAAGAACGGGGACATCTGCCATTTTGTACCTCCTGGTAAAAAACACTATTTCAGTTTKACTTGGATTGACAACTAAGCAACTTCTATTTACTCAGAGAGATACCAGGCTRAGATACGCTTCGATGACAAACCAGAAAATTCAGAAAATTCTAAATAARTCTAATCAGTTGCAAAAATGTACCAGCAGGATGTTTTAGAAGAMGCGGCTAAGCAGTAATGCAATCCTCTTCAAAGGAGAACATTGGATCTTCCAGAAAAATACTGATCCAACACACACGGCAAAAACCACCCAGCCGTGGAYTAAAAGCAAAAATCTGGGTTTCATGGACATGACTTGCCATCTGGATGTCCATATTTGAATCCACTGGATGGTAGTTTGTGGGCAGAGTGGAAGAATATTATTTATCGACTCCACCCGACATCGATTTTGAGTCTCAAAAAATCTGTGGTACAAGCAGCATCGTTAATACTAATTGAAACTGTGCGTGATAAGACATATTTAAAAAATTGAAACTCACTTTCTATATGTACCTCTTCCATAAAACACCTCTGTTTACCGAACAATGCTACGAGTACAAGAAAAATTCACTTCTCAGTTCAAACAGCCAAATTTCTCTTTTCCATGTCCAAAAATCACAGGCACTAATGGCACATTTTCATTTTCACTGCAAGCATTACACGCCAATCTTCCCATCACACATCCTGCCACAGGTAAAATGCAAATGACGCTAACTTCAATTGTTGCAAAAAGCACACATTACACACGCTCCGGAGTGTGGCACTTAATTTCACCGATAATACCCACAGAACCACAGAAACAGCTGTGGAAAAAAAGACCACACGCCGTGTTCCAGCAGACCTCAACCCGCTCCGAAATAAATCATAGAGGAAAACAAACGAAAAACACTTAACGTGAACGCCAACACGCTTGGGCAAAGGCCAAAGTGGCGCGCATCTTCCATTGCATGCGAACACTTACGAACTTGCAACGTGCGCTTGCATGCAACATGTCTGCCAGCAGTCAGCAGCCATCAGCGAAGAGCCGTCAGTCGCCAGCCGGTGGCAGAGTGATGCCAAAAGGTTCATCGCGATTTCCTGCTTAACGCAATGGCAAATAAAAACACTTTTWGGCAACTGCCAGCAGCTGTTGCACGCCCTCGCATGTGCTTGGCCTCGCCCACTGCCAGCTGCCACCGACAATGTTTGCGTTTATTGAACCGTTGCGGCGTCAACAATGCTATGTTGTTGTTGCTGCAAGTGCTTAACTCTTGTTGACATTGACAATGTGTCCACGACAACTGCCGAATTGCGGCGCAGGAGCGTAGAAAAAGTGCCTAAAGCTCCGTGAGCTAAAATAATGACACCGCCGAAATTTATTACTTTAATAATCGAAAATTTTGCCTGGCACACAGCCGGTAAGGCTTAGGTTTTTTCGCAGTTAAGTTGTTGCTCTCAACTGAAAATGCCATTGGCGATGTAAAGACTTGYTGCCGCGACTGCTRAAGATGCGCCGAACCGGTCATGCGACACTGTTGCACTTCCGGTCGCATGTTGCGCATTACCAATGCACATCGTGCTTTGGTGATCGATTGAAAAATTATGTTTACCATGGGAAGTTTTGAAAAATTTGTGGGACAGGGTTGCCAAGYATTAGCGGATAGCTAAAATAATGACATCACCAAGCATTTAGTGGGTTGAATTGAAGACGGTAGGAAAATTACTGGTCAAGGTAACAATTTTCAAAGAATCGATTATGCGAGCCCATTTTGAAATTAGACCAAGGTGTCAAATCAAAATTGACCAAACCTCAACACTTGGCACCTCTAAAGCTATAAGCCTAAAAAGTCGGTTTATTCTTTTGATGACAACTTAAAGACAACAGTACATAACTCATGAACCGCAACCAGATACAGTTTAAAGGCTTTAAAGGTTTGAAGGTGCCTCTTTATTTATTAACTCTTACGACTTCATCCCAATTCTAAAACCTTATGTAGTACAGAAAACAATGGAGCATCTCTTTTGCACTTGTACAGCATTGTCAAGAATACTCTGTAAGCATCTGGGGTYCCCACGGTATGACACACTGGAAGACGTATCGATAATGAGACCGCAGAATCTGTTAAAATTCGTGTCAAGAGCAGGTATCCTAAAGGATAACTACTCCTCATGAACCTAGCAACTGAACTCCATTTCAACTRGTATTGCAAATTACCAAATCTGGGCTATGCATGGCTTATTGGCCTATCAGATTATTCTAACCTAACCTGTATAATTCACAGTAGTTTTGTGATTCCATTTATCTCTCTTCCTTATMTTCTTCTTCTTATTGAGAAACTTTTAAACCTTGTGCAATGCAAAAGGCCCTTCTTTCATATTCATGGGATCTTCTTGTCATATCTTAACCCCAACGGACTCTTGGAGATCGAGCAGAGTATTACTTTTATATCTTCACCATTTGTTATATGCATACTGCTTGAGTACTGCTTAACCCTGGCCTATTTTCGGGACTCACTCGTTCTTTTCATATGTTATAGTCATACTGAAGTGCTTTCTAAGTAATATTATGATATCAGGGTAACTTGTTCTTTAACACTTTTCCGCAAAAAACATGGCCCAAAAATTTTGGGATAAAAAAGGTAAAGACTTCGAATTACATAATACTTTAAAATATTGGTTCGWGCCAAGATTTGCCTTCCACAGTGAGAAAATTCCAGCTGTGCTTAGAAAAAACTATAGTTTTCTGGCCGTCCATATGCTTCTTTCTCCTGAACAGAATTTTATATAGGCGACTATGTAAAAGTCCTATCATAAGATGTATACAGTTCCTCTATATAAAATGGGTATTTCGATATTCATGAAAATTGTTAACCCTATCACCTGTCCGTGTAGCCAATGAACATTCTCGAGATACTTACCATAGRTGGTTAGATAGATTAAAAGTTCTTCTTTTGTGTCGTCTTCTATTATTACCACACTTAATGTACACACGTCAAATCAACAAGGCTCCACATGTTAATGGTGACTGTGATATTGGATGAGAAAACACATTTCTTTTACCGGATTTTTATGCCCGATGTCCTGACTCTTTCTTCTTGCTATAGTGGGGCAATAAAGGAGTACATAAGCTGCTTTTTATACTTCGGGATTCTAAATTTAGTTTATTCTTTTTTCAATCTATTAAGAACTATACACTTTTGCATGTGTTTAAACCAATTGTCGAAACACTTTTGGCATTCTGATTGAGGTATCTCCAAAACATGCGTTCTGAACATATCAACCACGTTTTCAATTGTCGAAAAACATTGACCATTTAACGAATGAGAGTAAAAAGAARCCATACAAAGTCAAGCCACGACTGAACGGAGGACAACTTATCAAATCGATGTTTTGAGTATTCAGAATCTCAGTTGTTTCAGTCGATGTATGAAAGCYAGCACAGTTGTGGTGAACCGACAACGGCCGAGAAGGGATCAGTCGGTCTTCYTGATTTCTTGATCTACGACCTTGATTGAATTCACCATACCATCGATAAACGCTGATCCTTGATGRAGTTTCATCGTCAAGAATTCAATTAAGTTCATCTATGCATTCTGATGAGTTAATTAACGTCGAAGAACGCAAAAAATCRTGTGCGTGTTAGCGATTTAATACTGATACTGTAAACAACACAAACAACRCCAAGAAGTGTCAAAATGCTCTGAGTATGCATACCATCMAAAATATYAAACTTTACGATAAAGTTRGGAGTTGCCGGATTTCAAAAATACTGTTGACAAATCCTCAAATGTAAAAGGCAACCTACTTCTGTGCCCTGATATCTCTGCTCTCTGGTCACAGAAGCGACACAGATATATTGAGCAGTACTATAATATGATGATAAGATATCGTAAAGCTTAAAGTGGATTTTAAGGAAATATAAAATGGGTATTTCAGGAATGTTAAGTCCTTCCACATAACTTCTCAAAGATCAAGTTATATGTTAGCGATCTCTACTTGCAACATATCCATAACCCATCTTTATCGATAATTTTATTCAATAGTTGGCAACCCTGACGACAGCCACAAAGTAATCAGTTATCATGAAAATTAATTTTTTTTTTTTTTTGGTTAAACTTAGCAGGCGATGAACCAGCACACCTTGGAAATTTCGTAACACGACGGCGCCTTGCAGCAAAACGAGATACAAAATCTGTCATTAACCGAATAATATGCCAAAATACAACAACAAACACTTGCCGCATAAGATAACTGGCAGTATAAGCAACATTGCAAGGATGCATATGCAACAATAGCAGTAAGCAAAACAGATAATAAGCAAATACGAAATCATAATAAATAACGTTATCAACAATTCGTGTGTGTGTGTGTGTGTGTGTGTGTGTGTGCTGCATTGGCGAAGTGAAAGCGCTGCATGACACGAAGCTAACACCAGGTTGCACTGCACCCACCACAGCCACAGCTGTTTGGGCMACCATTAGATGGCCAGCAGCGAAAGTTCAAAGGCAACAAGTTGCATAAGTAATGTCAATGGCGGACGGACACTCGTGATATCGTGGCTGATGAGCCAAGAAAGTAACAAAACGTGTAATGAAATTCCAAAAGAAAACAATCAAAAAGTTTCATATAAATTGAGAGAAATTAAATACAGAAGTATATGCGCTGGCATTAGAGATTCGACGATTATGCAACCTATAAAGAAAGTAAATAGTATTTTAGTATCTGTACTTAATCCACACTTTGTAAGCAGCATGCCGCATGTTGCATAACCATAGAGCATTACGAGTATCAGCGCGGTGGGAAAATTTCTCCTCCCACTTTAATATTTCCTCAGCATACTTTTGGCTCATTCAAACTCAGAGCACATATAGCATATATGTATATGTATGCTTTATGACTTTTCCGAATTGATGAATTTGTAATTTAATTACGAACCTATCAACAGCAGCTCTTTATGAGCTTTTGATGTTGTGGTAATCAAGAAACATAGTGTCATTAACAGCAATCGAACTTTAGGTGCTATTAGGTGCTTTTACTTATAGTCAATTAAAAGAAATTTGTTGTCAGTGATTGGGTGTATTTTATGGCAGAAGGTCGTCTGATGATTCGGTTAGAATCGTTTTCGGTAATATTTTATGTTTTCGATATTCCAACTTTCCGTTCCAACTTATGGATTCAATTTATGTTTTTGGGAGAGTTTTTATGATCTTTTCTCATAATAAATCTCCTCATAAATATAAAAATTAATATTGAATTTGGATCGAACAATTAGCTGGAGATTTTTACATCATTTTAAATAACAAAAAACATTTTTAAAAAATTAGGATGTGACATTTTAAAAATTTTTGATTTTTGGAAATATGGAATTTTTCAATCATCATAGTCGATATCGAGAGAAATACACCGATTATGGCAATTTTCAACGTTTGATTTTTTCCAAAATAAAATAATCCACTTACCGTTCTCTAGATGTCTCTGAACAGAAAAAAATCACGGAAAGCCAGATTAAATGACTAAACCGAACGTAAAAGGCTATCTCTCCGACCTTACTCGCTTCCTTGCTGCATGAACCTAACACTCTCCCCCACGGGTCTATAACCCTAAAATTTTAGATGTGACACTCGACAGTCTATGCTCCTTCACCCCTCACATTACTGCGATTATTCCAAAAGTACAGAGCCCCAACAAAATCCTCAAGTCGCTAGCCGGCAGCACATGGGGAAAAGGCAAAGAAACGTAGTTGGCAATCGGTCGGCCGGTCCTTAACAACGCCGCAAAAATATGTTTGTCTGGATGCAGTAAAACCCAGGCGAGGACGCTACAGACATGTCATAATACTGCACTCCTCTTCAACCAGTTTCTGCCATCCCTGCAGTCACCTGCTTGCGGCGGAACTACCTCCTAGGAGCATCAAGAAGTCCTTCCTCACCGCAACAAACTTCAGACATACACTAACCGCCATTCACAGTGGCGTACTTGGAATCAAACTGCCACCCATTGCAGACGACGATCTCGAGTTCCCGCGAGAATCGAGAGTTACCCTTGCGCAGCTTCGTTATGGATAATTTAGTAGGTTAAACTTCTGCTTATCCAGAATCGTACCTGAAATATCAAATATATGTCTAGTGTGCAAAAAGTGTCCCTGCTTGCTAACCTTAGACATCTGACACCAATCTCCCAACAACACGTTTAATGGGTCTACTGTTTGATGACCTCATCTTATATAATCCTTACCATCCTCACTGGGACTAGGTAACCGTTACAAAAACAATAACAACGTCTCTTGCGTCCTTTCATGCCTTGGCCTCGGTTTCGAAATTGCTTCTAGTGGAGTAGGGGGTTTCTATATGCAGAAGTAGCGAAGAGGGGACACCACCCAGCGGAACCCCGTATATAATTATTCTCAGACTACTGTTTCGATGTCATAATAGTACAGATGGTTGACAAAAGCTCCTATTATTAATGGTATATTTCCTCAATCATTAAGGAGCTGTGTCTTGATACAGTCAAAACGCGTAACGCTACGAGAATGGTTCTCTCACAAATACCATTAAGTATTTTCTGTACAGTGAGCAGAAGATTTATCATTTTGTCGTACTTCCCTTTTAATAGTGAGACTACTCTTCCTATTTTCCGCAAACGAGTATGCGAAGATTGGTTAGAGGTAGGCTGAGGACCTAGGTGAAACACTTCACTCCCACCGAGCGTTACAGCTTGAGCATAAGCATGTTTATCCCATCTGGTTGGATTTCCTTAGAAAAAGCAAGTGATGAGAGTTGTTTGGCGTCAGGTAGCACGTCTCCTACCCTGTCTGTCGTAAGGTGAAATATAAATTGTCGGTTAAGGTGACTCGTGGTCCTCTTCGGGTTGGAGGAGGCATGGCCATCGAATTGCATTTCTATCCATTTATCGTATCTTTTCGCATTGGATAGGAATTTGACAGAGTCMATACYTTCGGTGATTTACTCATTTCGTYCGCTTATGCTGGTTTACCATCTGTTGAATATCAAATTTGAGATCACTTATACAGAGATCACTGCTAACACAAGTTTTTCGGCTGAGTAATGGGGGCTGACTTCAAAGATTTTTTAAAGCCGAACTGAAATGAACAGCAGCAGCACCGATCATCTTGCGGGCTTGGCTATCTATTTATTATTTTTCGGAAATTTTTTTTCTCTCCTCTTCTGGCACACTCTACGGCGATCAGGAAACCTGCACTTCACTCTTATGCAAAAGTTGCTAACACAATTCTTCAGACAAAATTAAAGAAATCGAAATATACTCTCCTAAATACACTTTATAGATGAATCAATGTGAGCCTTCATCACTACACATAACTGACTCAGCACTATTTSATCTACCGATCATACCGAAAGTAACAATGAACCTTGCCGATAGAGAGTAAACACGCATGCGCAATGGTTGGAGCGCGTTGTATACTCACATATGTACATACATATGTATGTATGTATACACTTATCTATACACCTATATATATATGCACTGATTAGTCTTGCAGACTCGTGTGCATCGCTAATTGCTGACATCTCACGYCTGCTGTCAGCGCAAGACCGCAGCGAAATGTGTGCAACCGATTGCAGTCTCGCAACGGTGGCAATAAAATCTTAAGATGCAACTGCGGCGAATTGTCAAAACGTCAAACGTCAGATGAAATTTTGACTAATTGCCTGCTGAGGGGAAGGGGACCAAATGCGAAAAAAAACATACAGCTATGTTTGCATGTGTGTGTGTGTGCAACTAATTGCCAATAAAAGTGAAAATAAACGCAATGTAAATATATCTTATCAGAGGCGCACCGTGCGACGCTTGGAACACGCTCCAACAAGCAAAATGTTGCCGACATTGCGGTACGCAACCTTTTTTCCATTTTTTTGGCATTATTTTTTTTTT